GGGACCAAACTTGGCCCTGGACCAGAGCTGGCTGCCAGCCAAAAGGTCAGTGGGTTTGAACCCACCAGCTGCTCCATGGAAGATGGGGCAGTCTGCTTCAGTAACGATGTAGAGCTTTGCCATGAGTCAGAACCAGCTCAACGACAGCGAGCTGGGTTTTGGTTTGGCTTAGGCAGTAGTTAAGGCACGTGGATACTAGCCCAAATGTTTATGGTTCGTACCTACCAGCTGCTTCCTGGGAGAAAGATAAGGCAGTCTGCTTCCAAAATGACTTCTTGTTGTTGTTGTTGTTATGTGAGTTCTACTCTGTCCTCTAGGGACGCTGCCAGTCGGGATCAACTCGATGGCAGCAGGTTTGGGTTTGGGACTAAATCACAGGCCAGTCATAACACAGAACATCATACGGCAAAAATGAAACACAGAGCCGTACAAAGATACCGAGCACTTTCACTGCCCTGTGGAGCAGACAAGTTGTAAATAAATACGGTATCAATCTATTTTGATCAAAGTGATAACCTCACACATTTAAAAAAAAAAAAAAAACCTGTTTTTGATTACATGATTGTGCAGAAAGGGATGCAAAATTACCCTGCAGCCTGTTAATACTAGTTACGGGAGAGAGTGGGGGAAGGGCAGGGATGAGAAAAAAACACTAAGGCTGAACTAAAATAGAAAAAATAAGCAGCTCGATGCTTAGTGAACACAGAGGACATCACCCTATCTGGTATCACACTGAAATATGCAAGAGCAGGAACTCAATGGGACGACCTTGTTTTTCCAGGTCTCACAGTTTTCTGCCTATGACAGGGTGCAGTCTTACCACTTACCACTTTTCTGTCACTCACTATAGGGGAAAATATTTGAGTTTTTCTTCTCTGGCAGGTTTCTGCCTTACATATGTTCCGGCTTTCACAGGTTTTACTGTATTAAATGTAAAACTTGCGCACACACATACAGGAGGACGAGAAAGCAGCATAGGTAACCGAAAGATTACACATACCCTGTTTGGCTACAGAGCAGGCCTGTGGGCAATTTGTGGTGAGGATCGCTGCTATTTTTAAGCAGTGCCTGCGATATGAGAATTTAGAAAGGAAAAAGGCTGACCATGGTGATGGCTTGTCTCTCAAACAGATGCAGTTAAACCTGCCCTCGTGTGCTGCATGGTGTACGTGGGGAAGCAATCAACTCCCCAGGCCAGGTTTTCTCCATTATAAACCAAACCACACCCACCGCCATCAAGTCAATCCTCACTCAGAGTGACCCACAAGAAACCCTTAGAAAGGGTTTCTGTGGTAGTTATGTTTGCGTGTCAGCTTGGCTGGGCCTGGTTGAGTGGCTGGGCAGCTGGTGGTAGTTATTCCTCATGATGAGACTGGCAATCAGCTCCATGGTGGGATCTACCACAAGCAGCTGAGTAGCTGCCTTTGGGATGTGGTCTGCTTCCTGTATTTAAGGAGAAGCCTTGGGAATGGCCTCTAGCCTATGGCACGCTTGGACCCTGCATGGAGCCGTGTCATTGCTCAGCAGCCTGCTATGCTCTGCCGGCTTGGGACTTACAATGGACTTACGTCAATGGCCTGCTGTGTGGTTTGGTAACATCGGGACTGTGCCTTTTTACTTGTCAACCTCGGGGCTTCTGAGCCTCAGCAGCCAGCAGCTGTCTGAGTGAAGAAAGCCTCTAGCTGCAGGGGGCTGGGAGCAAAAGGCAGAGCTGGACCCCTAAGGCTGAGGGTCTTTCACCCAGCCCCTAGAGCCTGGCTCTTTGAATTTGGACTTAAAGCCTCCAAATTGTAAGAATAAACTCCTGTTTGTTAAGGCCATCCCATTCGTGGTATGTATTCTTGTCAGAGCAGCACGAGGGAACTAGAACAGCTTCCAAGGCTGCAAATCTTTATGGGAGCAGACTGCCTCATCTTTTTCCCAGGGAGCGGCTGGTGAGATCAAACCACCACCAACCTTTCAGTTCGCTGCTGAAGGTTTTAACCACTAAGCCACCAGAGCTCCTTTGTAATGAGCAGTGAATCCCAATTACCACCATAGTCTCTTGAGACGCGACACCCTTTCTTGTTCCCATTTTGACCCCGAGGAGATATAAAGCCAAAATAACTGAAATGGAGCCAAGTATGACCTGTTCCAATGAGGCCTCAGCATACCAGGAGGGGACCCCGGAATGCCACACACTCACTTCTTTTCTGCTGGGATGTAATGCACATTCATGCTAGCGTGGGGTATAACGTGATGGTGACGAGGTCTTTCATTGGCCGAAAAGGCTGCATTGATAGCAAAATGTTTCACGTAGGACTCCAAAATAGTTATGATGTTGGTCTGGCACGGAAGTTTCACCAACTGTTAACAAAAACACAGATGTCTGATGTACACATTTCAGCACGTGAACCATTCTAAGAAACCATGCTCATGTCTACATTGCTTTCTTAACTCCAAAATAAAGACACCAAGTCAATTCTGCTCAAATGACTCATAATCTGTTGCCTTCAGGTCAATTCTCATGCATAGCAACCCTACAGGGCAGAGGAGAACTGCCCTATAAGGTTCCCCAGGCTGTAAATCTTTATGGAAGCCAACTGCTACATCTTACTCCCATGAACCAGCTGGTGGGTTCGAATCATTGACTTTTCGGTGCACAGCCGAGCACTTAACCACTGCGCCACCAGGGTCCTCTAAGACCTCAAATAGAACCCCTTACAGAAATATACACTTCGATTTGTTTTCCTTCTGCCGATTATATCTTCCAGTTGGCTATGGCATTTATTTTTCAAATAATTTCCAGCACTGGTTCTCAATCCTAGTGACCCACTGGAACAACTTGTGGCACTTCGAAACAATACCCTCAGCTGGCCCCCACCGCACATCCCTTGGTTGGAGCCGAGGCAGCAGAATTTGGGAACGCTCCCTAGAGGATACTCTTCGGTGGCCTGGGCCATGAAAGGCTGTGCCTCACGTGCTCTCTACAGCAGCAGCAGCACCATGGACAGAAGCCTGGAAAACTGGCCTCAAGGCAAAGCCAAAAAAGACATTTCTTCCCCAAGGCATCTCCACTGCTTTTGAGTCTGCGCTTGTAGAATATGGCTAATTGACACCTGTGTTAAAAACTCCCTGTTTCGGGACCAGGTTTGCTGGTCCAACAGAGCCTGGTGGAACCACTGAGACTGGCCCCTAGCTGCCCTTCAGGTCTGGAATTGGCTTCCAGTCAAACAAAAGACAGGCCTATGAGCTGAACATTTACCTGAGGTAGATATACTTCTTGGAGAGAACAATCATGGGAGAAAGAAGGGCTGCTTATGCACCGGGAGACAGCTCAGGGGGCAGGAGTGCAGGGAGCGATGGACACAGGGAAGAGAGAACTATCAGGAGGAAGTGGGAGGGGAGCTGTTGCATTGTGGGAAATTGTGGTCAATGTCATGAGACAGAGTTTACGTGAACTGCTGTATGGAAAGTGAATTTGCTCTGTAAATTTTCACCCAAATCACAATAATAAAAAAAAAAAAAACCTCCGTTCCCCATGTTCTGATATACCCGCTTCCTCCTGTTGATATAGTAGCAATCGTCCTCCAGCTTCTTCTTCAGAACTTCCGGGATTTCTATGCTTATTGTCCTTTCTTCCATTTCTCTTTTTGTGTGCAGCTCTGGCTCTTCTTTCTACAACATCACAGTTCCACATTTAACTACTAAAAAAGCAAGAGTCTACATCTGAAACACAAGAACACTTTGACGCAGACCCAACAGCCAAAACAAACTACGCCTCCCGTTAAGCCAACGGGTAACATATTTTATGCCACTCCATACTATATTGCAAATGCTTCTCATTTTCTTCTCCACTTACATTTAGAAGAGGGCATTATGGTAACTTTGGGGGCCAAGCAGGAGATGCATAGCAAACACTGATGTGCTCCATTAAAACATCAATCATCATTATAAAAATGAACTTTGACAAACTCACTAGAAAGAAAGGTAATTTTATCATTTGGGAAAACACTTTACAGGACCAAACGGCCACAGGAAGACCCCTAGGGTGACGACACACCAGGGCTGCTTTGCTCAAAAGGTGGAGTAAACATGTTGATTTGGTAAACAATGTAGTTTTAAAAAATGACTCACAACTAGAGAATTTTAGCACAAAAACCTATTCCAAAGAGAAAGAGTTTTGATGATAAAACGTCATACCGCGTCGGTCTTTTCTTCAGTATCACTTTCTTCAGTTATTTCCTCATCTGTCTCCTCACTGCTGCCACCAGAGGAGCTGCTTATGGCTAAGGAGAACAAGGACACCAAGTGAGCCATGCCATGCACTTCCCAAGCCCTGACCACGGTGCCCACTGATGGTAATAAACCACAGGCCCAGCTGAGTTGTAAATGCTAAACCCAAACTCTGCACCTTTCAGAACAAGAACTTACTCCTGAAAATCTAACACCAACTTCAACGGATATATAAAAATAAAAAAAAAATCACACAAGCTCATGACCTCAAAGTCAGCCCAGGTCTGCCCCACCCCTGGGGCACTGAGGTGAGTCCCCTTAGTGACCTGAGAGGATAAAGCCTCCCTGACAGCCGTGTCCACGCCCTCCTCCTGCCATCAGGACCTGCGGAGCTGCAGGCGGGGGGCGTTGTCACATTCCTAAGAGGGGCCAAGGTCAAGGAGGTGCCAAGAGCCAGAAAAACACACAGAGAAGTACCCACGAGGTGTTAGCATAGAGATGCTGGCCAACAAAGCAGTGGCCATGAGGACTCTGACAAGACTGCCAAATAATACTGACTGCTACAGGTATAGCAAGGATTGTGGGGCTGGCACAGGACCGGGCAGTGTTTCATTCTGTCGTACATAGGGTCGCTATGAGTCAGAGCCCACTCGACAGCACCTAACAACAACAAGAACTGTCACTGTCCAAAATCAGATGGGACAAACGTTACAAATGACCTTAAAAGGTTTCCCTATCTTAAATGTCACTGAATCCTCCCATCAGCCCTGTGGAATGAAAAGGCAAGCGAAATTTCTCTTAGTCAAAGAAAGCAAAGTCAAGCCACCCACAGTTTTCAGCATTTTCATCTTTTTCATCAACAGGGAGGCTTTTTAAAACAGAGTCGACACCGGGCAACCTGCAGCGCTTCTTCTTTCTTCCTTTTCGTCTGTTAAAAAAAAAAAAGAGCACGACTGAAATAAACGTCAACCCCCAATGGCACAAACACAAGCGATAAGAAGCAATGGAAAAACCCAACTGTACAACATAAATCATAATCTCCGTTTCAGAATATTACACGGCAACCAAAGTGAATTCACCGTACTGCTTGCAAACAAAAAAGGGATGCTCTTCATTCACACACTGTAAAATACATGTTATTTCATAAGTGAGGCTTATGTCATTTGATTAATTTTATATCCTAAAAGTCTAAACACCAAGAGAAAACAAAGAGTAACATTTATGCCACAGGTGTTGTATTCTTACAGGCGAGCTACAGCTTTTCTTGCCAATTTGCGTTGTAATCTCCGGTTTTCATCAGTGTCACGAAGCACATGATCTTCAGCTGCCCATCTATCCCAGCTGAACAGAAAAGAGGAGGAGGATGTAAAATGCGGGTTTTCCTTTGGTCCTGAAATAAATACTCCTCACGGGGACAGAGGTGTCCCAGAATTACTAACTCCTAACATTTCAGAGCACTCATCATTCTCAAATCACAAATAGGGGGAAAAAAAAAAAACACTGCCATTGAGTGGCAACCATTTAGGACAGAGGAGACCAGCCCCATAGTGTTCAAGGTTGTAAAACTTCATGGAAGAGGACTACTTTGCCTTTCTCGTGCTGCTGGTGGGTTTGAACCACTGACCTTTGGGTTTAGCAGCTGAATGTTTTAACCACTATGCCACCAGGGCTCCGAGGACACAAAGAAACTGAAATAGGATCTCATTCTGACACAGAAAAAAAAAAAAAGTGGGCTTTCCAAAATTATCCAGAGATGAGGCAAATATACTTCACTTAAAAACAATCATTCCACAGAACTGGCAAACCTTGCCAACAAAACAAAACCCCCAAACACAAAACTTTTCTTCAAGTGCCTCTCAAGCGTAACAAAAATGTTTGCAGTGTTCCCTCTGCAAGAATGGTTAGTTCTCAGTCCAGTTTAACCCGTACACTTACCTTCTGTTCCAACCATTAAAATGGATCAGATATTCTGGGATCTTTCTGCCTTTTTCGTCTTTTCCAACAATAACATCGACAATCTGAAATCAGGAAAAATTGCCCACAAAGTGATAGAACACACAGAATATTAGAAGCTAGATCAGGACGACTAGATCATACTCCATTTGCCAAAAAGAGAAAAGCTTTCTCTCCTTTTTTAGCTCGAGAGCTGGGTTGTAACATTTTTCCTTTCAATTCCATTTTTTTTCCCTGAGTGGATGCCTCAAAATAGGAAGCATCCGTCCAACCACCTTGTGATTGGTATGCGAGCTTGACAAAGGGTGAAGTTTTTGCAGCCATTGGCCAGTGAATTCGTCACTAGCGAAAGTCCTAGCCACACAAAAGGGCTGCGGCCCTGTGACGCCTGGGAGTTGTAGTCCCTCAGGCTCAGCTGTGTGCAGGCAAAGGCTGGCCAGAGACGCCTCCATCCCTGCCCACAATATCCCCGGAACGACGCGTCGGGGCAAACAATACGATCTCCCGATACAACCTGGGAGACTCAAGAGTGGAGGCGGGCATTCGGGGAGGAAAGGAGAGCGTGGGAGATAAAAGAAAACACCAACAGGGCTGCAGGGGAGGGGCCCCGAGGTAGAACTCGCATAGCCTGGGGGTACTGGGCAGGTCCCAAGTGGCAGCACAGCCTGGCAGAGCAGCTGACACATCTGAAGGTGCCACATGTCCCTGCCAGTTTCACTCACATGGCCCAAGAGACCCAGGTCTGCCCCACCCCTGGGGCGCCAAGCTGCGTTCCCCTTAGTGATCTAAGAGGATGGAGCCTCCCTGACGGTGGTGTACACTCCCTCCTCCCGCCATCAGGACCTGCGGAGCTGCAGGACCGGGCTCAGCCCCCCGCCCCCCAAGATCTTAGGTGGAAGGCCCAGGACGGGACTACTCGGGCTCGGCTCAGATAGCCTTCAGGGATCGAAGGCGGAAGTGCTGGAAATCACCGAAGTACAGAGCCCAACCTAGCCCTCTGAGTTAGGGGAGGGGTCGGGCCCTAAACACGACTGAGTTGGGTGACATCGCGAAGGGGCGGCCAGCGGTGAAATGCTATGAACAGGACCTGGGTCAGTCGGTCACGGCGTCCCACAGGTAGCCACGCCGCGCCGGGCAGCGCAGGATGAGAACAGACTAAACACTACAGAGAAGCCCACCAGCAAACAGCCTCTATGACGCGCACAGAACACTACCGCTGTCGCAACCTCGCGACAATGCACGCGCGAGCTTCCCAGTGGTGCATGCGCGTCCCCGCGCGCCAGCCGGAAACGGAACCGCCCGGTCCCCGAGTCCCGCGCGCAGAGCCCCGCGAGCGCCCCCTGCCTCCCCTCCGCGCTTTGCAGGCTAAGGAGCTGCGGGCAGCGGGCGCCCCTGGCCCTGCAGCTCCGGCTGCTGTCCGGTGGCCAAGGGGCCGCCGCCCGCGCCCCCCGCCTGCTCCAGCCCCTGCCCGCGCCTCCTCCCTGTCCCCGCCCGCAGCAGCACCTTGGCATCGTAAAGGACTCGCGCCTTGGTGGGGTCAGGCTCGAAGCACAGCACTTTCTCCCCTGAGTGGA